TTTGTGAGTAGACTTTGAAGCCAAAACAGTTAATATAAATACATAAATATAGGTTATATATAAGACTATATKGTCAATTTCATAAGATTAACAAGTCATGCTGAATGAATTTGTTTAATATACGATCCCTTATYGTAATTCTGACTCTTGAAACCCTGTTCTCCTCATCGRTCTTCGCTTGTTTGTGCATAAAATACTGTTTGAGTAGATGAATCATGAATAGTTAACCAAAACACAAGCTTTTGCCTGTGAAGTTCATTGAAAATTCTTAGGAATAATCCTTCGAAATCTTCGCTATCTTCTCCTTGTTTACGAAATTCATTAATTAATATTTCTAGTTCGGCTGTCTTGAATTATGGCAGTCAACGAAATAGAGCATGCGTAGATATAAACCTGTGCCATGTGATCTACTAGCTCCGCCCTCTCATAATCGTTTGGCAGCATAGTGACATTGATTGACATCTGGTACATGATAATTGATTGGACTATAGACGGGAACCCTATAGCAGATACCCGAAAAGGTCTATTGGGTAAGTTCCTGAAGACCTCTGGGTAACTATTGCGCAACTTTGCCATTTTGTCAAGGAGAAAAATACAAAACAAAAAACAACAAAAAACAAAGGCATTTTATATCTGGTATACCACAGGTATCCCAGCAAAAAAACCTCTTGCAAAATTTTTTTTTTATGTACTTTTTCAGAAATTCAGAAAAAATATAGATTCCTGTGCCAAAATTGAGGGTTTTCCCCAGTTAAAATTCCAAATGCATGATGTTCAGGACTCAATAAAAGTGGTTACACTTAGTGATTTTTGTATTCATGCACATTGTGGGCTCAAATTTTGCATGCCTGTGTCATGCAATGTGATATAATTGCCTGTATTATGACAGCCTGGAGGGGTACTCTTGGTCCAAGTGGTAGGGGTGATTGGTGGTTGGCTTTGAAAACAAACCTCTAAAGGTATGCATAAATTAAAAGAGCTGTTGAAGCCATGTTGTTTTCAATCTCTAAAGGGTAAATAACTGACTTTTGTATTGAAACCTAGAAGGTTCGCACAGGAAATATATATTTTCAACCCTAAAAGGACTGCACACCAAGTTACCACTTGGACAAAGGGAGTACCCCCCCCCCTCCCCCCCAAAAACAACCAAGGTGTGACATTCCTGATAACTTATTTGTTTTGATTTTAGGCAGCCATGTATGCCATTCCAAAAAGAAGAAAGCTTTATCTTTATAAAGMAAACTCTGATGAAGAAAACACTGATGAAGAAAATTCTAATGAAGAAAGCACTGATGAAAAAAGCTCCAATGTAGAAAACACTGATGAAGAAAATTCTGATGAAGTAAGCACTGATGAAAAAAGCTCCAATGTAGAAAACACTGATGAAGAAAATTCAAATGAAAACTCTGATGAGGAAAATTCTGATTCTGAAAATGAAGAAATTGACACCGCACATCGTGATTCTGAGCTAAAAAAGGATCTGCTAAAAGTACTCACAAAAATCCATGAARAGAAGMCRTCTGAGTTTGCARTTGGCAATACAAGTGATGAACTTTCTACATCCCCTGGTATTAAGATTTCAGGCTATGGTACAGTTAGTTTACCTGTTACAKTGATGACAGTGGAACATCTCAGAAACCATTTCAATCAGGCACCGTATGGCCTTGGTGAGGAAACATTGATTGACAAGGCAGTCAGGGACTCTTGGCAGCTTGACCCTGAGAAATTT